AGAAATTAAACAATAAGAGTAATATTTTAGTGTTAAAAAATAACACATGTACAATTCCCTCAAGTTTAAGACTACAGTCAAGTCACTTGAAACTGACAATAACACTAAATACATGTATTTATCTATTGATACATATTCCATTATGACTTCATATCTTGGTAGTTCAGAGGTTGTTTTCAGCTAACATTAACCTACCCAAGATATAGTACACTGTATTTCAGTCTAAAAGGGAAACCACCATGACCATCTGAGTTAACTCCCACAGAAAATCATTTGCTGTGTATATAAATCTGTCTCTATTGGTGGTCCAATAAATTCTTTTAGTCTATCCCATATAAGCATTAGATTCCATCTCAATTTGAAGATATATTTAATGTGAATGAATATTGACTTGCCCTGAAAGAAATTTGAAAATATGATTCAGATAGTATTAAAGTTTTATCATTTCCAAGCCATTTTTTGTCAGATTGAATGCAACTTACAACTTAAGACAAATCAAGTATGACACAACTTTTTAAAGTCTATAGAAATACAATGTTATTTTCAGTGAATGCTTTCAAGCATACAAGGGAGTAGTCATTAGTTCCAAAGATCATCTGTGTGTGACCTCCACATCAATCCAAAACATGTGCTACCTCAGTTTGTAAGACAGCATATCCCTTCTAAAGTGGCAGCCATTGTTGAAATGCTAAATCCCTACATACTTTAAAAATTGTTGTTCTATAAATACCATAAAATTATTTGAATTTGACAGATTGTTTTAAATGAGAAAGTTTTGTAAAGGTATTCTTCACTGATCAAACCGAGTTTGATGGCTAAAGTATTTAAGTATTTTTGAAAAATAGTACAAAAATTAATGATGTTTGATCTTAAGCTGGTACAATAGGCAAGGCTTGAATTATAAGTCATGAAACTTAAGTTCTACCCTTACTGTGTGTACACCCTTAATAAGTTAATGTTTTTTTCAGCCATACAAATCTGACTGACGAATAGAGCTCTCAGTGCTCTATTTCTAAATACAAGACTAAGCTGACCTTTTCTTCTCAGCCAATGAAAATCATTTGCCCAAGTGTCCATCTATTTTTTATTGAACCATACATGTAGGTAGATTGAAGTGAACACAAAGTATTTTCAAATGAGATAATGATTGTATCTAATAATGCTTCTGTTCAACCTCTTCCTCTTTTTTAAGAAGTGTGAATGCATCTGTCGTTAAAATTAGTTACAAAGCCCTAGTAATCTTTTCTTCTATTTTAATGACTGAATGCAGTGTTTATGGCTGAAAAACACGTGGAATATTATATAAATACTGCATGTACAGTCCCTGAAACGTTCTACTTTCCCACTTGAACGGTGAGCGAACGCTGAACGAACGGTGAGCGAACGGTGAACGAACGCAGAGCGAACGGTGAGTGAACGATGTGTGAACGCTGAACGCAACTTGGTGAACGATGTGTGAACGGTGAGCGAACGCAGAACGCGAACGGAGCGCAAACGCGAACGCAAAGTGAACGGTGAACGAACGGTGAACGCAAGATGAACGATATATTCGGAATGCCTCTGATCTTTTCCTTGCATTGAAACTATTTTATTGTATTATAATGTCAGGTGCCAAAATAAATAAATAAATAAATAAATAAATAAATAAGTAAACCAAAAAATGAATAATAAATAAGTAAATAAAATAAATTCTCCAAAATTGTCCTAAGAAAGACGATTCATGCACATTAAGATTTTAATCACACGATTTTTAACGCATTAAAACATTGCAATTGTTGCCGAACGCTGAAGTATAAAAGATATTTTTTTAGTTGGAAAATAAAAATGTTTATTCTTATTTGATAACAAATCAGAGAAAACTTCTGACTTATAGAATGAATTAAAGCGATTGTAACATCCATTCATATATGTATTTCCGTGTCAAGACGATTTCATGTAAAGTAATAAAAAAATTAATTACAAAGGTCAGTGGACGTTTTGCATTTATACCCTCGTATTTTAAATGTTTAATACAATAATATATTATGTGTCATTTCTATTTTTCATGATGATTTATTGAGCAGACTTCTACATGTATCTGTAGATGGCCGTGATTATACTCAGACAAGATAATACAAGGACACATATTCATATTATTTGTTATAAATTCAATTTTCAGAACTTGATATTTAAGTAATATTATCAAACAGACAAATGAGAGAGAGAGAGAGAGAGAGAGAGATTCCGTTTCAGCCCCCCCCCTTCCTTCCTTTCAGGCTTCACTAAATGTTTGCACCTATATCAAACAATAACTCTGATATTTTTTTCTAAATATATTAGACAGTGAAAGTAACTCTTTTTTTTTATCAACAAATCATATCCATCTGTTTGACAGTATTACTCGTTTTTATTTTCCTGTTTCAAGTTCACACGAAGTCCACGTGCTTGTCCTGTCAATCAAAATCATTCGACACTGTGCAGGTGTGAAAGTTTCGTCACATCGAAGACGAAGTGCGAGTATTTCCAACAAGTTATAACATTTATTTTTATCATTTCTAGATTTGATACCAACATTTGAATAATTAGTGAATAAAATATATTGGGCATTAACACTTGAATTTGAAACATACTCTCTGCCAATTTCAAATACCACCGCCGACACGTGTACATTTTGAACTACTATTGTTTTGTGACTTTTTTTTAGATGCATGTTTGTTTTGAGACTGAAAGTTTTGTTCTAAAAAAGACCTTAACTTTTTTTTAACAGGTTAATTAAAATTTTCTGGAAATACAGTACTGACTAAGTAACCGATTTAGCAGAAAAGGGGGGGGGTATTAATTATATCGAATAGCAAACATATAAAGTTACGGTGAAGAAAGATTTTTTCTCTATAACTATAGACTTTACATACATGTATTATAGTAGCGAATATTCTGTAGTGCATTACATTTTAAATAAATATTTCCTTTAAACACACTATCAATTTAATTCGCTCCAAAGATAATAAATTAACAGGATATCCGCAGTACTATGTATAACTCTCAGAACTAGTTCTATCATATTTTCTGTAGTAATTGAATAAAAAAAACGCGTTAGAAATAAATATTTTCGTAATTTTGCTGCGTAATTATTTGACTTGGATAATTATATCTCCATTAACGATTTGTCGTCTTTAACAAAACATCAAAATGTTGCAGTGCTTGAAGTATTTGCACATTGGCCTTAATTAAATTTAATATTTCAGCATCGTTCTACATAGGTACAGGATGTGCTTATAACAACTTTTTTTTTTCCAGAGTAATTTAATAAATAACCTAATAGCTAAGTTAGAATAATAAAAATATATATATTAGATTTTTCCCCCATGAAATAATGATTCTTCAAACACGATATGTTAGTATTAAATTAAAAAATCTGTAACTCCTTACCTACAAAAAGATAAGTCCTTTCACTTGGGAGTTCCGAATGGCAATGACCACTGAACGATAGGTGAACGCTGAACGCAAGGTGAACGCAAAGTGAACGGAACGAAGAGCGAACGCTGAACGCTTTGTGAACGGTGAACGCGAGCGCACGGTGAACGGTGAACGCAAAACTGTGAACGGAGAGCGAACGGTGAACGAACGGTGAACGCACGCTGAACGAACGGTGAACGAACGGTGAGCGAACGGAAAAATGGGAAAGTAGAACGTTTCAGGGACTGTAGTTGAGTGTAACATTGAAAATTTTCACCCCAAGAAAACCATTGTCAACCGAGGCGCAGCCGAGGTTGACAATGGTTTTCGAGGGGTGAAAATTTTCAATGTTACACTCAACTACATGCAGTATTTATTATATTATACTGAATGTTTTATACAAATACATATTACAGTGAACCTTGCGCGCATGAATTCTGCGCAGTCAATATTTTTTGGAATAACACCCGTCGTCAAGCAATGTTAACTGTTGCTACGCTGGTGGGCGTGGCTTCATTATTCAGCGGGTAATAGTGTTTTTTAACAAATGTTTCTCGACGAATCAGATTCAACTAATTTACATGAAAGTATAATATATGGAAATGTTGTTTATAATCTTGCAAGTCTTGCCTTAGCGTGTGGACATGAGAGTTGTATGGCCTGCAAAATCGCAAGCTTTTAGACTTATAAGACAAGCCTTACCAGCCCTTAGGGATTTCATCCAGAGTCTCCCACTAACTCAATGTAGGCATAATTTTTTATCCTCTCAAAGTCAACCATGCCAATTGAATGAGTGCTATTTTTATAGTCATTTTGGCAAGTTAGAATAATTCCTAGATACTGTACATGAATTTACTTCTATTGCACCAACAGAAAATCATTGTATCAAAAATTAGCAGTGGCTTGGTGACTCACTCCAAGCTGCTCTGAGATTAAAATGATTAAACATGATTTACACATACACAATTAAGAACATGCAATCAAAGTTGCATCTTGAAGCAACTTTTTTTGCAAGTTATACATCCCCTTTCCTTGGATATGTGTCAGTCATTCAATACTTAGCTGCTACATAATTATCATGTGTTGTACAGCACTGTAAGATTTCTATTTTTGTCTATTAATGTGTTACTTCTCTGCAGTAATAAGTTCCTTTTTATGAGCAAGCTTCAATATGACTAATAAGGCAACAATTCTGTTAATTCTACTAGTAGTTTTTTTTTTTCCTTACATGAGAAGAACACTCAGCATACAACAGGACCGATCAACTACCAGCTGTCATAAACAATAATACATCAACTCTATACAATATATCAAGATATTATATGTACATTTATTTAGTTTAATTAACTTTCATTACTCATTAAGCAACCTTCAAGACTCCACCTTGTAGTTAAGTGTATAAATTTAATTCATTTAATTAATCACATATGTACAGTACATAAGCAAACATCAAAGTTTCAGAAGATATGTAAACAATATACCATACTCCATAATTAAATGAAATGATACACGTTTCACACCTCTGTATATTGTTATTAAGATGTCATCTAGTACATACTACTTACCTGAGTCTGCCATGATGTCTATAGCCTGGATCTTACCATCTCTGTACCAAAGTAATCAGCCTCAGAGGAAGGCCATCCAACACCTATAATAGAATCAATGATCACTGGTCAACATTGTATTAGACAGTCTGGCTGAATAACATATTGATATATATATATATCAATGTACTGCAGATACCATCAGGCACTTACTCAAAAAGATATGACCACAAACTCTTCTTTTTTTATTAAGAAAATGAAATGAAAACCTTGGATTTACGTTTTTTAAATTTACTTGAATTTTTCATATTTTTGGTAGGATTTTTATTTTATTAAATAAAGAGAAAACTTGAAGTTCCCCTTCTTTATTGTTTCAAATAAACAAAAATGATTTGTGTAATAGCTTAGTAGACAAGAAAACTTATCTTTAATAATTTATCTTAAACACAGAGAACACATGGTACATATTCACTTTCTGAAATCATCTCGTACCAGCCTTCAATGTTCACAATGCTCTTAGCATTCACAGTATATCCCAGTATTTATTTATAGGAAACATTAAGGTAGGTAAATACTATCAGAATTTTCTGTCAAACAATTTATTTTTTCATTTAAATATCTTAAACAACTCTTGAGCCAACAAAAAAACCCATATTACACATACCTTTGCACGCTTATTTTCATACTATGTGCTATAGAGCACATATACCCCCAACTTCAACAGCCAAATTCTAACACAAAGATGTATAATTTCATATTTTATTCAAATATGCACCAAAGCACACTGTATTGTGCTATAATTCATTAAATCTAATAGATAATTAACTACAAAGAGAATTTTTCGAGATATTCAATTGAAAACATGCACATTTAACATTTATACTACTCAAATCCATCAGAAAAAAAAATCACAAAATATCATTATTTTCAAAAGTCCCAAAATTTATATTGTTAACATGCCATTTTTTCTTTAAAAATATCTAAAATTATATCTAAGGTTAACAAAAAAACATATTTTATCACAGTAAACCAGAGATATTTTATTAAATCATATCTCGAATACCCCTACCCCCACTTTGGTAATAGCATGTTTTACAGTTATATTTTACACACTGTAAAAAATATCAAAATGTAACAAACAAATACAGTCTTAGAATGAAATACAAATGGAATATTAAAAAATACTGAAATTTTGGTCCTTCTAGACACTTAGAACATAAGGGGTAGGGTGGTGGTGGTGGGGGGGGGGGGGGGGGGGGGGGGGGCAACCCCTTCCTTTTTTCACAATTTTTTTTTACATACAAGTACACATTCTTAACAATTTATAATCTAATACATATAAAGAGAATAAATGTAGTGTAACAAACATACATGTAGATTCTAGCAAGTATAGCTCATAAACAAATAATTTTGTTGAATGAAAATACTTATGATGTGAACTAACAAGAGTTCAAATACTCCACAACTTTGCCAATGATCTTCTGAGACTTCGTAATTCTTGGTGTCTTTGAACCAGACACAACCTCACTAAAGACAGTCTGAATCCCACAATGGGGGTCACGCTTATGTATGAGTTTTAGCTTGTTTAAGCTTAGATTGTTAGCTGTAAGCCTTTTAGAGATCAGTGTAGAAATTACTTTGCTTTGTATCAATGGAATTAGTGAGGACTTGACATTATAATAATTCATATTAAATATATCTGAAGATTCACATTTGAATGCTAAATTTGACTCGTACAGTTCTCGTAAACTACAAACATCAGCTAGAGCATTGTGTGCATCGTAACTTTTCCCTAAACACAATCTGACCAATGTTTCTTGTTTAAAATTTCCCACTGTTTTCTTGTCAAACACTTTCTGTGCAAGTTTGTATGTATCCAAAAAACCTAAAACATTTTCATCAAATCGTTTAAGTAGACCATGTCGCTGCAAGTGATATTGAAGAATTGGAAGATCAAAGTTTTGAATATTATGGCCCACAATGACTGGTTTTGAAGCACAATCTGTTGTAAAGTCTACAAACTGGGTCAAACCACTGACTTGATCTGTTGAAGGCACAGGCTCTCCATGAAGAGTGAGCTGTCCCATGTCATATCTGAGACCTGTTGCAGCCGATGCTTCTTTACAGATTGGTACACTGGGGTTGAGATAAACATTGATTGACCTATCTTCACAAACTGCAGCAATCTGTATGATGTCAGATGTTCTACCTGAAAGCAAAATTATTAATTATATTTTATACCAAACTCGAAAATAAAAGAATATTTATATTTGTTAGTAGGGAAAAGGTAAACTAAAAAAAAATCTTACTAAGTCCAGTAGTTTCTAAATCAAAATACATCAAGCAGCTGCTCTCTGGAGAAATCCTAAGAGGCTCTGGATCAATGTCATCAAGATCAACATCCTCCTCAAGACCAATATCTGACTTATATGATTGACCTGTTACAAACAAAATTCAAGTAAATAATACTGAAATTCCACTAGCAATGGCTTCTCTAAAGGTGTGAAAAATACACAATAAATCAAAGTAAAACATTACATTCAATTCTGTTTTAACTGAAGCACTACCTTCTAGTACATTCCTCGCTGCTTCTTTAGACAACCTGGCAGCTTTTAATTCCAATCGACGTTTCTTTGTGGTGGGTAAACTCTGCATCAGACGCTTCCGTTTGAGCTTGTTGGCAAGTCTAATGGTATGTTTCATTGTGAAATTGCCTGGTGACAATGCCATTTTCTTGTTCAACTGTAAAATATAATTCATGTTTCAGTAAATTTTTAATTTTGTGAGTGTTCCATATTCAAATCAAATGGTTAATAAGAACAGGGATTATAGTTTTGAATGTGAATTTCTTAGTAAATCCATATCTTTATGTACTTTATGTACATGTTTATTTAGATAAACATGATTGTAAACATCTTTTTTAAAAGCTACATGTATTTATAGTTTATAATATTTATTGTGGAAAACCATTAAAATCAAAATAAACTTCTAGGACACTAAACACATGTGAACATAACTTTCTTAGGTTTGCCATAAAAAAGAAAGAAAACAAAACATAACAAACAATAAATGTAGAGAAAAACAAATTTAAAAATGATCAACTTGAAACTTTTAACACATTTTTCTACCTCTGATATGTAACCATAACCCATATTCTTTTGACATACAGTGGCTGAGAGTCTAGCATGTAGACTTTCTGAACCTCCATAAAACCTAACAACACATTTTTTTGCAATTTGAATCTCATATTTCAGACTCAATTTAAAAGATTATACCTAGAATTTTTGTTTTAAACAAAGAGAAATAAACCAAAGTACTTACAATCTTTTGGGGGCTTTAGTGGAGACCATATGGTTGAAATTCTCATTGACTTGGGTGGACCCCATCATGGCTAGCTCTTCTGCCTTACAGCAATACTTTTTGAATAGACCTTCTAAAGCTTCTCGAACTAAGGTGCAGGAGAGAGGCTTTCCATACGGCAAATTTCGTGGTTTATAGTCAGTCTTTTTACTCTGGCACCAAGTTCCACAGTATTCGTGTTCACCTTCAAAAAAAAAAGTAGTTAAAATATTTTCACTCTTCATTCCTAATTTTGTAATGACTTTTTTATTGATACACTTACCATATAAATGTGGAACAATTTTGCCAAGTTCAATTTCAAGCTCTTTAGCCTTGCCCCTGTTTTGCTGTACACAATATGTAAAACATCTAAAACAAAGAAGGAAAAGATACTTATTTTATAATTAGCTATCGCACTTACAATTAACAAGGTTTCTGTTGGACCACAGTTGATCAAGGGATATTTTACTGAAATATTACACTTCAAAAACACAAACCTTTCAATGTGACCTCTAAGTTTTTGATTTTTCAAAACTTTGTGAGTATTGGCAAGCTCAATCAAAGCTCCTGTGAAACCTTTTTTTGTGTGGTTTTTGTCAGCTCTTTTGTTGATGGTTGGGTCCACAGTGGCTTTTACATGGGCAATAGTTGTTGAGTCATTGTCCATGACTAAAGTTCCTATCTGTAAAATACATTGGAAATATGTACTTTAATTAAAACAGCAAAGTTTTAATATATAATGTAGTCAACTTTACAGACATATTTGGCATTGCTCTAATAAGAATCAAACATTCAATGAAAAGTTACCTTGCACCCTTCATCTTGGATTGCACTCAGCATTTCACAGGCCATGGCTGGCTCCATTGCCTTTGCCGATCCATGCCAATTCCTTCGGCAGTTGTGTTTTCTGGGTGGAACTCCTTTACCTGATGCAGCTGAGCAGATTCTGCATTTTTTACTCTTCGAAGAGAAACTTACTATCTTTTTAGTTTTTTCTCCTACTAGAGATGCATGACCTGTAACAAGATAAATACTGCTAGTACATAACTACATGTATGTGTATTAAAATATGTTACTCTATAAGAAATCTCAATCCTTCTTGAGGAGGGAGAATCAAAACATGTAACATTATCACCAGGGCATACCAGTAAGACTATTGTATCCTCTACCAGTACCTCTCTTCTGCCAGGCACCATCAAAAGACACAGTGATGTCTCCATCACTCCTACAAAGTAATTAACACAAATGTGCAAATATTAACAAATAACATGTAAATACAAAGCAAAATTTAAATATCAATATTTGGTATATAAAATTACAGTTTCATTTCTTCTTGAAGAACTTTATTACAACTCTGCCCTGCCATTTCCTCTAGGTGTTCCCCAACCTCTCTTTCTCTGCTTTTTAGACTCCTGTTTGTGATCCCTGGGATATTCAGTGCAGCCAGTAATGCATTTACATGAGTTATTCCATAACCACCATTTAGCATACCTAAGATATCACAGAAATAAAATGAAAACAAAATAGTTCTTTCAGATGTAAACTTTTGTATAACTGGAAATAATTTATTTTTATCTGCTTATTTACAAAATAAAATTTTTGATTTATACCTGCAGCAAGTTTTGTGTTGACATCCCAAGCATATTGCTTCATATCTGCTTTAACCCTATGCTTACTGCCCGTGGGTATGTCATTGACATGGGCACAGGTGGAATGTGTGCATTTTATCTGAAGAACCTGCATTTGGTCAAAAATTAATGTAAAGGGTATACAACATCTTTAAAAACAAATCTTTGAAATACAAAGTCATTGACAATATTATAAAAAATAATAAATACCTGCCCTAGTCCAAATTTCCTTTCACCTATAGTGTTAACAAGCTGAAGTGCATTCCCACACATGGCGCAACCTCTTTTCAGATTATCTACAAGAGTGCCAAGTTCAACAATTCGTCTTCCAACACGCCATGAACTTTCTGCACTTTGACACTCAACACTTCGTAGAACAGGGGAAGAATCATTCTCCAAGCATAGGCCATCATTTTCAACATCTAATATTTACACAATAAATGATTGAATCTTTTGCTACATATTCCAACAGTCCATAGCAGAACGCTTACACAATAATTATTAATACAGACACTTACCCTGTTTACCTTTTAACGCACGGGCTTCTCTTGCTCTCCTTAGACCCTCAAGTCTCCGGAGGAACGAAGCTTTCACGAACGTTCCTTTTTTAGACCGGGGCATTCTTGTATTTTTATATAATCACACGAAATTTATGATAAATGACCAGACTGAATGTTTTGCGCCAAAGCCGAGTCATAACCGGAAGTCTAGAGTCGGTGTATAAAATTTAAAACCGGAAGCGAAAAACTATGGCCTTTCCTTAACCAACACCGCTACATACTCCTCTGGGAGCCTGACAGCGAATACAGGCAAACACCCTGAAAAAATGTCAGTCAGTCTTGCTGACAAGTTTCTAACCATCACAAACATTATCTGAGTGTTCAATGAGTGACCCATTTACATCACAAAGGATAACGCTCTATCGATTTCAGTTTGGCAAAGACACTTTTTAAATGCAAGTGAAACTACTCCACAATATTCAGTGCCCAGGATGTCAGACACTCGACCACAGTAGAAACAGGTGTGCCCTTTAGGGAGTTGGAGGTGGATGGGTTAACAAACAATAAATTAAATATTACATATCACAGTAAACACATAATTCATGAATAAAATGTGCTAATGAATCTGTATATGCCATGAATTTATGATTTCACTGAAAACACACCATAATTTTTGTGATGTACTTTCAGTGACTTCTTAAAAAAGAAATTAAAAGGAAGAAATTTAGAACATCTTAAATCTTGATTGACTACTTTTAGAAACAGCAACTCACTTCCTTGTCATAATAAAAGTTCTTATGATTCTTCAGCAATGTACAATTGTATACAGTTGAACTCCGGTATCTCGAACACTGACATATGTCAAAGTGATTTGGAAGTCCCAACCACTTATTCTTTAAGTATTTTACCCTTGATATCTCTAACCATCGGACATCTCGAAGTTTTATCTTGGTCCCACTGAGTTGGAGATAACAAGGTTTGACTGTATTTCATTAAGTGTTTTATAAATCTTCAGTTTATCACCTACACACAATCTAAACATGTTATAATTCTATACAGAGCCCCTTGTGAAGATTTGGCTGGATTTACATCTCCATCATCGGGATCAGATTGTATATCCTACTTTTACAATGACACTTAGAAATGCAAGTAGGAAAATCAATATATTCTCCATATAGTCTTAATTTTATGTCAAAGTACTAAAGATGAAGGACTTTCACTTCTTCAGTGAGCTACATTAATCCAATATCCTTGTAATATTATAACTACAAGGAGTATTCCAGAGCAATTTTGAGGTTTGACTATTATTAATTAAATTTCAATTTAATTTCTATATAATAAAATAGCAAACTTCTAAAATGAACAGTATCCCTGTATTTACATACCAATTGCAGAATGTCCAAAATATATCTTATGCTTTTTCCAGCACATCCAATATCCAATATACGAAAAACTCTGTTTGATATTTCAGACCATCTCTACCCATGAATTAAGATCAATTTCTCACACAGTATAAACCTTTAACGAGTTGGAGAGAAAATATGAAATTAGGTATTATCTGTGAAATCACCGACTGCCACAATACTAGATACTGGGTATCATTTATTATCTGCGAAATTGTATATCCTATACAACTTTGTGTAAAAACAAAAAACAAACAACCGTACAGGATGTCAGTTAGCGCTATATGTACAAATGACAGGACTAACACAGTTGGGGTCGCAAGGAAGACATGACAGTATCATTTTTCATTAGTCAATACCAAAAACAAATCACCAAATATTATTATTATTTGTCAATGAGTTTCTTTCCCATTAGACAAGTATATTCCTCAAGTTTAACATCTAAACTTATTAGCATTATTTACAAAATATAAAACTTTGAAGAAAATTTCCAATTCACTATGTGTTATGCATTTTATGGTGTCCCTTTCAGCTAAAAATCAGATGATGTTTTTTAAGTCTAATCCATTATAATAGCCGGGCATTTGTAAAAACAAAAATAAATATTTAATTATTCTATGTATAGAAAAGCGGGTTATGTAAGATTTAAAGATTCAAAGACACATACATATAAAAAGCAAAAATCAGCAGCAGCTGCATGAACAGCTAATCTATTTGATGTGAACTAGAAAGAGCCCATGGGATTTTTTAAATGACTAGATAGCAGGCCAGTAGAATGCTGGAAG